TTCCATTATTATAATTTTGTATTAGGAAATAGTTTGTTTTCTATTTATTATAATTTATATTAACAAATAGTTTTTTTCATCATTATTTTATATTAGGAAATTAGGAAATAGTTGGTTTTCCATTTATTATAATTTTGTATTAACAAATAGTTTTTTTCATCATTATTTTATATTAAGAAATAGTTTGTTTTCCCATTATTATAATTGTATATTAGGAAATCGTTTGTTTTCCTATTAATTATAATAATGGGTTTAAGGTTTTCATTGCCTTTAACCCATCTCAATTCTACAAACTAAGCAAAAGATTTTTAACGTTTCTATTCTACTAATCACAAAAAACAGACCTATGCATCAACTCCAGAAAATACCAAAACATTTAAGGAATTAGAAAATGCAAGGTCGGTAACTGTCTTTTGATGAAATCTCTACTTGGTTTTAACTTATACAGAGTAATTTAAGTTTTTAAATTTGCTTTTCTTATTTATTCAAAATATTAAATTCTACATTTAAAAACAAGTGCTTGATAAAGCTGAATATTTTAAATCTGAATTAAAGAGTTATCCATGCTAATGGTAATAAAGTTGTTATTCTTTAAATGGAAGGCAAGAAAAGTTGTAGCAGGTGGTGGAGCCTTGAGTGTTGTAATCACCAGCATGCATTGCATCTCCATCTCAAACAAAAAGGTAAAAATAATAAATGACTCATGAAATTTAAATTACCCTTAATATCATCAAGTTAAACAAGGAAACTTTCCCTTTATATTGATAAAACATAAAAATCATTCTTAGGGAGAGCGAAGCATGAAAAAGAATCTTTTTCTATCTAAGCAATATCATTAGTCTATCATTATTCATCTAGAAGGTTGCCATAACTGTGGTTATAAAGAACTAGTTGCCTAGAGGAACCAAAGCATTTGTAAATAAGAGGTTGACAAGCAACTAAATGATAAAAATGCAATCTTTAAGGTCAAAGTATAAACACCTTTCTAGTAAAGTTTCATTCATTCTTCTACCATTTTCATAATTGGTGAACAAAATTATCTGTTAATGCTGGAAGCGTATCTCCTGAATTTGTATATATCATTCTAACAACCGGTTTTGAATTTTAAAAAATAATTTTCACTTTTAGGCAGCTCGATTGTCACATTGTGAGTTTGTTAATTTCGTATGAAATTCGTGCGATGATTTAATAGGTATCCAAATGTCATTGGCTGAATTTTTTTTTCAAAAGAAAAGAATATTGAACAGATTATGTGGTATCGAAAAAAACATAGACAAAAAGGATTGAAACAAAATATTTTTAAAAGGAAAGCTAATATTTAAAAAATATGTGATTAAAAATTAGGAGAAATATAAAGTGAATTAGATTTCTATTCATTCTTTCCACCTATTTAGTCTGTTATTAGATTTACTAATGCCAATACATAGTAAACCAAGTAACTTATTTAAAATAATAGGAAAACAGACTATTTCTTAATATAAAATAATAATAGAAAAAAATAATTCCTAAAATAAAATAAAAATGAGAAAACAAATTATTATTTTGTACTGCAAAATTATAATAAATCGAAAACAAACTATTTTTTAATACAAAATTATAATAAATGGAAAATTAACTATTTCCTAATATAAAATAATAATAGAAAATAAACTATTTTCATTATTATAATTTTGTATAAGGAAATAGTTTATTTTCCATTATTATTTTATATTGGGAAATGGTTTGATTTACCATTATTATTTTATATTAGGAAATAGTTCGTTTTCCCATTATTATAATTTTGAATTAAGAAATGATTTGTTTTCCAATTATTATACTTTTGTATTAGCAAATAGTTTTTTTTATCATTATTTTTTATTAGAAAATAGTTTGTTTTCCCATTATTATAATTGCATATTAGGAAATAATTTGTTTTGCTATTGATTATAATAATAGGTTTAGGGTTTTCATTGCCTCTAACCCATCTCAATTCTAAAAATTAAGCAAAAGATCTTTAACGTTTCTGTTCTACTAGTTACAAAAAAATATACCTATGCATCAACCACAAAAAATACCAAAACATTTAAGCCATTAGAAAATGAAAGGCCGGTAACTGTCTTTTGATGACATCTCTACTTGTTTTTGACTTATACAGAGTAATTTAAGTTTCCAAATTTGCTTTTAATATTTATTCAAAATATTAAATTCTACATTTAAAAACAAGTGTGATCAAGCCGAACATTATAAATCTAAATTAAAGAGTTATCCATGCCAATGGCAATAAAATTGTTATTCTTTAAAAGAAAGGCAAAAAAAGTTACAACAGGTGGTGGAGCTGTGAATGTTGTCATCACCAGCACGCATTGCATCTCCATCTCAGACAAAAGGCCAAAATAATAAATGACTCACGAAATTTAAATTACCTTTAATATCATCAAGTTAAAAAGAAAACTTTTCCCCTATATTGATAAAACACAAGAATCATTCTTTTAGGGAGAGCGAAGCATGGAACAACATCTTTTTCTGTTTAAGGAATATCATTGGTTTATCTTTATTCATCTAGAAGGTTGCCATAACTGTGGTTATAAAGAACTAGTTGCTTAGAGAAATCAAAGCATTTGTAAATAGGAGGTTGACAAGCAACTAAATGATAAAAAATGCAATATTTAAGGTTAAAGTATAAACACTTTTCTAATAAAGTTTCACTTATTCTTCTACCATTTTCATAATTGGTGAACAACATTATTTGTTAATGCTAGAAGTGTATCTCCTAAATTTATATATATCATTCTAATAATTGGTTTTGAATTTTAAAAAATAATTTTCACTTTTAAGTAGCTCGATTGTCACATAGTGAGTTTGTTAATTTTGTGTGAAATTCGTGCAATGGTTTGATAGGTATCCAAGTGTCATTGGCTGAAAATTTTTTTTAAAAGAAAAAAATATTGAAGAGATTATATGGTATCGAAAAAATATAGACAAAAAGAATTGAAACAAAATATGTTTAAAAAAGAAAGCTAATATTTATAATTCAATGAACTTATTTCTAAAGGGCCTAAAGGTACCTTTGTGTTTCAATCTCGAAGAAAATCTTCATAAAGTCTCGATAATTATTAAATTTTGTGAATCCAAACAAGTACTTCTCAACTTTGTCCCATTCCCCATTGGTTATACAATCTTTAAAATATTTCATTTTGAAGAAAACTCTTGCCTCTTTCTCCAATCATTATTTAAAAAGAATGAAAACAAACACGCAAAATATAGTCACAAAATAATAATCATATAAAATTAATATTTCAAACACTTCAAAGTTCAAACTAATTAAAATTCTATGAAATATTTAGTTATATAAAACATAATATGGTATAAAGAATACATAGTTATATGAGAAAATAAATAAACGTATAGCCTAGTAAAAGTATATTAAGTAATATTTTAAATTGATCATTACTATAAAGGAAGAATCTTAAAGATAACTCTCATAAAAAAATATAGAATGTTCATGTATATAAAAAAAAGAAAATAAAATTGATAAACGTAGTTAGCAAAAGGTATACATATATCATGTTGATGCCCTAAAAGTGTTGGATATTCATTCTCCTATAGAAATAAAAAGGGAAAAATATTTAGGCTCTTTCCTTTTATTATTGTTATAAGAAGTATATAAGATAATATCAAAAAGGGTACTAAGTTAAAAAAGGAAATAAAAATAATGATATAGTAATAAAAAATAGTATAATAAACTATTCAAACAAAAAATAAATTAGCTTTAAAGGTAGAAAGTTAGAATATTTATGCTTAGAAAAGTAGACTACCTATGCTACCAAAAGTTTATGCATAATAAGGATATTATTTGGATTATTAACCGATGATAAAATATTTTTTCAAGATATGAGAAGTCACAATCTCGAATTAGTTTTTCTAGGTGAGGAATTTTTGTTAAAACTCTATCAGTATGATGAGAGGGTTTAATTTTGAGTTTTAATATTTCAATCCCAAATAAATATTTCTTTAAAAATATTAATAAAATAAAAAACATAGAATAGAAATGAAAAAAGGAAATAATAAATAATAAACAATAATAAATATAAATAAAAAGATAATAGGTGAAGTATATGTAATTTTAAAATAGTATAGAGTTATGTAAAAAATATTAATTTCTTAAGAAGAGATGGCAAACATACATATTGTGTATGATAATTTAAAAAATGAAAATGAAAATATTGTAATGGATATCTTTAGCAAAAATGAAAAGGTAATGAGAAATATAAAAACAAATTTGTTATAATAATAAAAATATAAATTAAAATATGCTTAATTATTTTCTCTTTAATTTAAAAATTGAGATCCTACCAAATCAATGAAAGGATCTCGATTTTAATGAACTAATGTGATTCAAACAACTTTATTCTAAATAAGTTCAAATTAGCATGCATTTTTCTTTTTTATGAATAAAAGAGTCAACCAATAGAGAGTATTATACAATTAGATGTAGAATGTTACGATCATTGCACAGAATATCACAAATATCAAGTAAAAGATGAGATAAGTTTTAAAATTATAACTAAAGTTTTTCTTCATTTATCAAACATATCTATTAAGCTAAAAATATTGATACATGTTAAATTAACCAGCAACCTAATCCTTTTTCTTTGCTTTTCTTGTTTGATTTTTTCTCTTTTCACTTTCTTCCCCCGATATTATAAATAATGTATGCATATAAATATAAATGTATATTAATTTTTAATTTCTATGTCCTATTGTGGTTTCATGCATAAATTTAAAAAATTAGAAAAATGTTTATTTATATTCAAAATATGTTAAATTGATAATAGTATATATTCATGTGAAAATTTATTTTTGTACATGTATTAGATATTGAAATTAATTCAAACATTTTTGAATAAATAAAAAAATCGCAAAATTCTAAAAAAACAAAATAGTTCTGAACTCTTTTAGAATAAAGCATAGCTTAAAATGTGAAGGCAGAAGTCAACTAAAAGCCAAGAGGTCAGAAAATAATGGGGAAGGAGCAGGAGGAGAATGGCAACATAAGTCAGAAAACAATGGAGGAGCAGGAGGAGAACGGCAATAGCAGCAGCTGCTGCAGCGTGTTGATAGAGCTGCCAGTGGGCGAAGCAGCAGCAGCAGCAGGGGCAGGGCCATTCAATCTGGAAAAGGCAGTTTGCAGCCATGGGCTGTTCATGATGGCTCCGAATCAATGGGACCCAATCTCCCGCTCCCTCTCTCGCCCCTTACGTCTCCTTGATCATCACTCTCCGCCTCTTACAGTCCAGGTCCGCATCTCCCAGCCCAGTGCTTCCACTCTCCACCTCTGCGTTTATGGCACACGCTGTCTCTCTCCGCAGCACCGCCACTCGCTTTTGAATCAGGTGTCAAGAATGCTGCGGTTGTCGGAGGAGGAGGAGAGCAAGGTTAGGGAGTTTCGAAAGATTGTCGAAGCATTACATGGAGAAGAAGAAGCAGCAGCCGAGTGCTTGAGGAGTTTCAGCGGGAGAGTATTCAGGTCCCCTACTTTGTTTGAAGATATGGTCAAGTGTATTCTTCTCTGCAACTGCCAGTATGCCTCTTTCAAACTCTTTCCTCTGCCTCTTCCTCACCCACTTTTGGCGTTGCCTGCAACGTGTATGTCATAATGTCAAATTGGGCAATATGTGCTTTAATTGTCTTATGTCTCCCACATTATAATTATAGGTTTTCAAGGACTTTGAGCATGGCTAAGGCACTTTGTGAGCTTCAGTTTGAAACTCAACACCCATTTTCTGGTGTAAGGGCTGCTGAAGATGATTTCATTCCTAAGACGCCTGCCGGGAATGAGTTGAAGAGAAAGTTGAGAGTGTCCAAA